GTTTGGCTGCCTTACTTCAAGTCAACTGCTGACGCAACGCATTCAGGTGTCGTCCAAGACCACAATGAGTCATAGAAAATATTGCCTGATGACCTGACACTGTCAAAGTTCACGGTATGTTCATGTTACCTAGAGGTTGCATTCAATTATTGATAAGACAAGCGGGCAACAGAGGAGTTCAATTCCTAACGGGGCGTACATTTAATGGTAAACCAAAGACAAACATAGCCATCAAGACAAAACTGCACCATGGCTGGAAGCATCGAAACATCAAGCCGTCAAACGACGTGGCTACAGGGGCTTCACTCAGCAAACGAACAACAAAGCCAAAGTCGTCAGCATCAGAAAATTCCCCGTGTGGCGCAGTAATTATTATGTCGAGCGCGAAGTCCAACTTTAGTATATAGCTGCTACAATCGCCATAAATTGGGCATGTTGCCAGCCAAGAGACATGTATAAAACCTAACGGCATTCGAGCAACATCTTGAAGTAAATCCTTCGAGAGAAACCAGCTCATGTGCAAAACCTGGATCCAACTGGTAACATCCCACTAAAGCCAACGGTTGCACTTGACCGTGTGATGCGAATAGTGGCTTATATTATCGGTTTAAATTCACGTAATGGTGGACAACCTATAGTCACTGAGGCAAATTCAATTAACAGGCTTGTTTCATGTTGCATTGTCAGTCATTTTGGTTATAGTTGAATGATGAAAACTCACGCTAAACAATAAGCAGACTATCACTATATCAGCCGAAGCATACAGGTGTTACATGCAATGCTTAAACTTATATTTATATATAGCGATGTTGTCTCATCGCAAACATGGCACGAAAACTGGAAGAAGACGATATAAAATGGGTACTACACAGTTAAAACGGTTAGATCATCGCATACCTATTGGCTCCAACCCTGTATTGTACATGTATACCGTGGAAACAGGAATGGAAACTACGTCATCACTTGAGAAACAACTGGCGAAACCAAGTCAGTATGTACACATACTGTCGACACAAATACAAGGCGAAATTTTGAAAAACAGAGAAAATAGCTTACCTGCGTCAACGATGGAAACTCTGGGCAAGTCCCGACAGGTGTTTTCTTGACGAAAAATGCGCTCCTTTGGGTTTTTCCACCGTTTGTTTCGCTAGCTCTCGCAAGTGGGTTTTTCCAACGACGAATGCGGAAGTTAAATGTGGGCTTTGTCAGGCCAAAGGTTTGTACCCATAATGCACCAAAAGTGAAAATTGAGGGGTGTTTCAGATTCAGTATGACATAATGGCAATACAATATTAAAAAACGGATATAAACTAATTACTGTAAACATGTTAATAGAGTAGTAAAATCATATTGGAAATGATTTATTGCATACCAATGGCAATAAAATGTGTTTTTGACAAGCTACATCTACACTACTACCCCCCCTCACAAAATGCTGTCTCCCAACAATGATGATGACATCACTACAGGCGGGGATTTCAGCGCGCGGGGATTCCCCGCACTACCATATAAGGCAATCGTTGATGATTGACAGAGTATCTCGGAAAGTCCCAGACGTGCACACCTGACCATGATCCATGAGAAACTGGGAATTCTGTAATATAAAAGCTTTGATCAACAGGTAGTAATCATACAAGTTCATGAGTTACAAATTACCTGGTGCAAAGTGTGCTACCTGGACACCTTACTGAGGCTATCAGGGTGATCACACGTGTTTCACTGTTTGTATAGGACAGGTAAGAGAACTAATTATGAAAATGATTCATTTGTGCAAATATCATTAATCTCAACAGCATGGACCATTGTTGACCTTGTTTGTTAAGTTTTGTCTATGTGTACACTAAGTATGTAACTGTTACTAAGTAACGTTACAGTCAAACCTGTACTAGGCACAGTCACATTTGACTAGTGGTCACCTGGCCATGTACAGTACATGTACAATGTATATAACAACTGCCATTTAGCTGTACATGTCAGTAAAAAATGTGACAAGCATCATTGATTAAAGATATCTCGGTGAGAACTGAAAGTCCGTTCGTTATCACATGTACCTTCTGTGTAGTGGTCACCTGTTTATTATTATAATACATAAGTTACATACTTTGATAATTTGTAATTCCACCTTTTTTCACTGTAGATGGACAGGATCCTTTCATTGCTGAATTTCATCCTTGAGCTAGAATGATTAAGTACTGAATGGATATAAACTTGTGTGAAAACTTAAATCCTGGCATCCACCTGCATGTTATAAAGCAATGTTTTACAGAGTTTAAAGTTGTATTATGTTTAGGTGTCAAAATATGATGCCTTTTGAGTGTTTATCAAAACACATCTGTCAGCCATGTTTGTTTACATTCTGGTAGTTTCTGGTGGCACCACAAACTGAGCGTGCCTCATGCCTCTGTGGGCTGTTTGAGCACAAACCATATATAAATGTTTGACACTTTTGTGAAGCACAGTACTCATAGAAACTGTATTGTAATAAAGGGTTAATGCACTGCCCCGAGTTGTATATGGTGTCATAACTGCATGAGCAGCTGCCATAACCACCGAATAAACCTCCGTGTGAGCGAAGCGAACGAGGTGGTTTATGAGGTGGTTATGGCAGCTGCCCATGCAGTTATGACACCATATACAACGAGGAAAAGGCAGTGCATTAAAATTATTATCATATAGCCTATCCAAACTGTCAATCAACACAATTCCTGTTTGAAATACAACAGCTTTAATATATATACATACATAAAAATACATTCGAATATATTATACGCTTTAAAACAAATATGGATAATTTCATTTAATGCAAATTGTAGTTTAAATGAAGCTAAACAAAAAAGTTTATTGAACAGAAAAATGCTACAAAGGTTTACAGAAAGAGTCGCATGCCCCTATACCCTATAACATAATGGTATCAGCCATAACACGACATGTGCTCTTATTCCGCCATAACACCACATGTGCTGTTATCGGGAAATAACAGCACGGGTATCCGGGCCTCTGATTGGTCCACGCCGTCCGGCTATATGATAATAGTATATATACAACTGCTCTTTGTTCTCTTTATGAATATAGTATAGCATAGCTTAGTACGTACTATAGAGGTGTACTAGTTTTTAGTCAGTAGTTCTATTCAACATTCTGACAGACAAAGCACCTGTTGAACCTATATGTAGAATTTTGATGGGCCCATACCAGCTAGTAATCTTATTATCTGCCATATGTTGTTACAACTGTTGTGCAATAAATATTGTTTCTACAGTATCAGACTTTCGGAGATTGCGTATAGGACATCAGGATGCATCAGGGAAGAGAACAGAACAACGGTTTCGGCGCCATCCCCGTGCCGAGGGGTCACCGGGCTGGCTGCTTTCACATTGCCCTGATGGCAGTCTGGCTGGGGTGGGGGGTGTACGCAGTCAGAACACACAGTGTGCCAGGCTTTTACATGGCAGGTAGGACAGAGGGAAGCTTCCGCTCTTTTGTTTGTTTGCTTATGATCTCCATTAGTGTGAATTTTCACACTACTCTTCCTGGAGTCTGTAGTGAATCATCAGATAGTACTATTTGGACCATCGCACACCAGGGCATGCCCCTACTCTTTTTTGAAAGGTGTGGTGGGTTCTTTAATGTGTGTGGGGTGTGGCTCTCCCCAAACACGGGACCTCCATTTTACGTCCAGGGACGTCCCTAACCAATGCTAGGACCTCATTTTCACCTGAGTAAAGTGGCTTTGTAATGGGCACATTGTTTCTTTTGATGATAATGATGACTGGTTTATTGATACATGTAGGTTGAAAACTTTTTGCAGCCCAGATACATTTCATTCCATGCCCACCACTGTAGCTTAAAACCTAGGTTTAGCTTAAAATCTCCTCATGGTAGAATCCATTTTACCCTCTACATAACGTTACATGATTCTAACATATTCTCAATCAATGGTACATCGTAAAAAACAACAAACCAAACTTGATACCAATCATTTATATTTATACATTATTTTTGTTGTTGTAACATTACGATGTTGTTTTGCTGTACAGTCAAATTGCTAATGTACATGTAACAATGGACGAGGTAGAATACAATGTATGTGTATCATCTACCTCCATGCTGTAACTCACCTGAATAAACTAGAAAGGTAACATTTGCAAAGTTAATGCATTATGTTTACTTTCACATAGCCCAGTTTAACAAACTACTGCTTTGTTCTTTATTCTTACTCAAACACATTCATATACAATATATATACAGTGACCTTGCAACAACGTGTAGTTCTGCATGGCGCTTGCAATGTTAGGTAACCCAACACCAGTTACCATGGTGACAGACATCTGGTCCTGGTCATTGACCTTTTTTGTTTGGAGAAGAAGAAGCTGAACTGAGCAAAAACAAATGAATATGTTACAGAGGCTAAAACCATGGAGGTAGAATACTACATGTACCTCTATGTTCTAACGAACAGTGTTTTCTGGTATTTTCAGGTGGAAAATCTGCAAGCGAAGCAGACATGGAGACGGCCGTGTTTATTCACCACGTGTTCATTGCGGCTGCTCTGGTCCTGACCACCGTCGTCTCCGTTTTCGTGCACAGCGCCGGTCTCTTCCTGGAGGAGGTGAAGCACGTCGACTCTCGTCACGGGGGCAGGTAGGGCCTCCATCCTCATCTACAGTTCCCAGAAACTGGACATTCCACTTTGTCGAACAAATTTATACAAAAACTCTCTGATCCCATACATAGTAAACCTGTGGAACACGTGATTAACCCATTAAACTGAGCTGCAGTCCTGACGACATTAAATGTACTCACAGTCATCATACAAACGTCCTAATTTTTTATGTATATACGCATTAACGCAGCAATGTTGACTAGCAAATTCTTTTCTACAGATAAAATGTTATGTCCCCTAAACTGGAACATGTTTTTATGATAAAGTGAGTTATAACGTTAATAACTGACAATGCATTTCTGACCTTGTATGTAAATTTTTAAAACTATCATAATGGAGTTATACTTTGTAAATTCCACAAAATTCAGACTGATACAAAATGTATGTCCGCTGGTTGAATAATATTCTAAGACTATGGATTGAATATGTTAATAGGACCTTAAACAAACTTTCTGCTGAATTGTCATGTACAATACATTGCGGGTTTCGCGCAGGTGCAGTACATTCTGCCGATGTGCTAATGTTATTATTACATATAAATATAACTTATGCACAAGTTGTACTGACTCTACAGGTACCTGCAAGCCTTCCGGAGTTGTCTCCACTTCCCCCTGAGCGGTGGCCACCCTGTCCTGCTGGTGCTGTCTGCGTTTGTCCTGTTTGTCCTGTGGTTCGTCCAGATGGAGATGTTCAGGCGACTGCTCTCCCTGTACTGGGAACTGCTGGTGCTGCTGACAGGGGTGCAGCTTTTCATCGTGTCATACTTCATGGTAACTATGGTAGCTAACTATTACAGTGTGGTTCAAGTGCCACTAACTGACCCAGGCAGTTACTTTGACTGCTACGAGGGTCCACATCACTTTCACATTCACAAAACTGTAATGTCTTTGATGTACGCCAAAAAGCAGTTACTCAAGCAACTGGATATGATTTTGGAAATGTTGCTTGAGTAACTGCTTTTTGGCATATCTTATTACCTGGATGTCTAACCTTCACTGACGTGTCTTTGATGTAGATCAAAACTTTATTTACTGTACAGGTAGATTCTTGTAATTGATGGATCACCAATTTGTCTTGTTCATACTCATTTTTCTTTTACCCACTTTGTAATTATGTATTGTATTTTGTGATTGTGTGTTACTCTCGTTTCATGTTTTTGAGTAGAGGGCGTCATATAAGCATGTACTTCTTTCCTCAATAAATATGTGTGAATACCCTAATAACGGTTAGCGTGTTGTAATATGTAAGGTGGCTGCACAGGTTTCAACATAGGTTCAATTCCCGGTGTCCTGGGAGTCGGGATTTCCTGTTTGATGATGATGATGATTGGTTTATTAAAGAAGAAGCACAATCTGACATGGCAGTCAACAGACTGAATTACGCCAGACTTTACAGTAGTTTTAAAATCAGTTAAATTGATAAAATCACAGCTTAAAATATAACACATTATAAATATTTACGGTTCGTTCCACCATTGTCATACATAAATACATAAAATCTGTTACAATATTTAAAAAACGTCTACAGTCCATTCAGTAACTTTGTCATTGCAGGGATTGCACTAGTTATGTATCGTTTAGTCCCTGTTGGTTGTTGGTAGCGTGTCGAGTTGCGGAGATGCCTGCCATGTTGCTGTCCGCGGGTAGGGGGCAGCCATGCGAAGAAGCGAGGCGATCTTTCCACCTTCAAGGCAAAGTCTGTGCACAGTTTTTGTCTGCGGGCTGATAAGCGCTGAAGTCCGAGATGCTGGAGGGCTTCAGTGTACGTGGTGAATTGTCGACCCATCATCATTCTGCAGGCCCTTCTCTGCACCCGCTCCAGGGCGGCCGACTGTTTGTGGGTTAGTGCTGAGGCCCAACATGGAGCGGCGTATTCCAGTAACGGTCTTATGTAGCCGCAGTAGATAGTGTTCAGGTCTGCAACCGGTACTCCTGAACGGCGTAGCCTGCTGATAACAACCAGTCTTTTACTACTTTTAGAAACCATGTCTTCCACCTGGTCGTCCCATTTCAGATCGGAGCGTATGTGGAGCCCCAGCAACCTTGTCTTCGACGTAGTGTCCAGAGTCTGTCCTGCGAGAGTCAGCACAGGTGGTTGCAGGGGGGTTCGCACAAAGGAGAAATGCATGGCCTTACATTTCTTAGGGTTTAACAACATGTTGTTTTCAGCAGTCCAGGTATCAAGGTTATTGAGGTCAGACTGGAGTGATGTTGGTGTAGTGATTCGCCTGATCTCTCCCAGGTTGTAGTCGTCAACATATTTCCAGTACGAGTTCTCAGACACTGGTCTGGCGTCATTTATAAGTGTGAGAAACAGGAGTGGCCCCATCAAGGTGCCCTGGGCTATACCGCACGTCAGGTTTTCCCATTGAGATAACACTCCCTGATACCATGTTTCTACTCGCTTGTAGTGTTTCAGTGGTCCCCACACCAGCCCTGTGAGTAATGGCAAACAGTGCTGCACAGGGATATCGAAGTTTGAGATTTGAGGATGAACCTAAAAAGAAAGGTGGGAATAGTGTAACAGTAGGGTTCAAGAGCTGCTAACTTTGGCCGTGTTCATGTGAAGTCAGTGAAGGCGCTTTACATGTGGTTTCCCCGAAGCCGGTTTCAAGTGTCTCCATCTGAACGCTCCAAATCACATTGAAAGCGCCTCGATCCCAAACCACTTCTAGAGGTGGTTTCGAATCGGTTTTCCCGCATCGCGATTTGCGTCTGAACGCAATGTGATTTCAATGTAACCTCGCCTGGTTATGGATTACGGGGTGATATTTCTTTATTTATATGCAATACCAACTTTTACATAGCAGGAACTTAAAGAGCAGTAATGGTCAAAATAATGTGTCCGTTCTAGGGCGAGCTTCACGTCGGCATTCGGCCGAGATACGCTGGGAGGGGGGCATCAGCAAACAGGTCATTGACCTCTGACATTAATAACACGCTACCTTGCGTGTTTTCATCAAACAACAATAAATGTAGCTCAAGTGAATTGTGATCGGACACAGTTTCAAAGGAATGTGTGGCACGTGGACCAGATGTGAGGAATGCGAGTTACCCGAATCGCATGAACAAAGCTTTTGACTCTTGGCATCCCAGGAGTCAGGGGATTTCCTGTTTCTACTCGCTCCTAGTGTTTCATTAAGTACTAAAAAAACAAGCAACTGGACAAATTCTCTGAATAGTCAAGATATTTCAAATAGCATCTGTATATCTTTCATCATTTTGAAAAGAATATTAAGTTCTACCTGGATTCTAACCTTCATCACCAACATTACTAAATGGATTTGCATATAATTTAACATTATTTGCATGAACGTAATTAGATCTAGTAAAACTTCAAGAAAGCATGTATTAGATTATATTTGCTGAGTTTTAAGGAACGTTCTCTGTTATGAACATGTAGGACGGCAACATCATATCAAAGGGTTTATGGAAAAACCTGGCTGCCCACCTAGCCAGGCTACCTGGCCTGGCTAGCATGTCAGGCAACTCATCACATCCACTTTTCCATAAACCCTCATATTGAATACTACAGCTATACAGATAATGTACTTCTGACCCACTGTAAATGTACCTCCAACAGAAACCAGCTGCAGTTGAGGTGATGCAGCAGGTGGAAGGGTCCAAACAGAACGTTGCTCACGGACTGGCCTGGTCCTTCTACACAGGGTATCTCAAGATTGTTCTACCCAGTGAGTGTCATGCATACATGATTCCTGGTCGTCACTTTTCATTCACCCAGCTAATCAAAGATGATATCTATTACTGTGAATTTTTTTAGGACAATACTTCACTTAGTAATACATGTACAAAGAATGCTGTTATCAACTGTCAATTCCTGGATCTCTCGTCTTCATTGCCTCTTCATATTGGACTGATTCTTTGAAACTTTTATTTCAAATACCACATTGCAGACAAAAGTCTAGATTGCGTCAGTATTTACAATCCTTTGTGCTCGTTTTATAATACACAACTTGTAGGTATTTACAGTTTATCCATTGTCCTCATCAGAAATATTTTGTGATGCTTCCTAGCTTTATATTAACTGTAACCTAGCCACTATATATTTGGTTCCCATGTAATTTGGCTTGAATGGTATTGGAGTCACCTTCAGTCATTCAGTCATTCTGTCTACACCACGAAGACGGCCTCATTACCCAGTAAGGGTACCTAATGGCCTGGATTCAGGTGAATATTCAGGTGAATATTAGTTGATGAAACATCATCCCTTGAATTCTGTTTTCAGCCACATTGTAATAGTACTTACTTACTGGAATAGTGGCTACCAGCAATGTGTTAGCAATAGTAGGCATAATGCTCTCCCAATACATTTCTTAGGTCTTCATGAACGAATCAAGGAGTCGGCGTGGAAAAAAGAGATCCACCCCACAGCTCGAAGGCTGCTGGTTCTGATGCCTCTGAAGTGTGAAGTCAGAGCCAAGCTGGAGGATGCTGACTCCTACATCAAGGTACCAGACAGTCTGCCTCATCTCTGGTCTAACTGATCATTATTTCTCAATAAGGCCGTGTTGATTTCATTATATGGATGACATCCACACGCGCATGAATTTTTGTTTGTTTCCAAAAAAAAGTTTTCAACCATACTGTAAATTGTACAAAGCAGCCGCAAAATGAGCAAATATATGCCATGTATTGCAAAAGAAAAAAAAGGAAAACGATACTACAGCGAAGAATGCCAAAATCAATTCTAAAGGAAAAGATGATGTGAAGAAATGAAAATGAAGCATCTATTATTTGCCATACCATATTCTGTATGTTTAGTCAGTTGTTCAGCCTTCATGACCATGAAGATTTCATAAAGAAGGCAACTTTTTTTATTCGCACGCTCACAGAAAAGACATTACTATTTAGTAGTTTATGACGATCACTATGATGATAAGAATAGCAAAATTCTTGCAATGTCACCAAACACTTTCTTGTCTTTGTAGAATGTTACTGCAGGATTGAGAAGTGACAAAAGCCTACAACCTGTTCTAAAGGACAGGGGTGGCATCAAGGGGAGGGTGTACAAAAACGATGTGCATCAAGTCACTGACCCAGACACTGGACGTGTAAGTTTTTACATCAGATAAGAATTTACAACATATTTTGTAACTTAGACTACCGGTGTTTGTATGAGTAGATAAAGCTGTTTTAGTTTATAAAAGAAAAATTTATATTCCTTATGAAAGTTGACAAACCATTTATCATTAGTCTCATATGTTCATACATCTACACCTGCCTCAAGAAGCAAGAAGTAGAACATGTAAATAGTAGTACACATTTAGTATTATAGTTTATAATATAAGATGTTACTGTGATTTGTTCCTGTTTAATGTAATTTTTTCCTGTTTATTAATGACCTGTACTTAGCTTGTAAGAGCATAAATGTACAATAAAGGTCTTTCATTTAAATTTGTTCATTCACGACTGTTAATGGGAAGAGGATAGGAAAATAATCATTATGATTCAGGTTGAACTTAACCAGATATTCACAGTTGATGTTTTTTGCAGTCTGGTCTCAAATGATTATCAAGTTGACAGAAACTCCTTTTTCTTGTAAATGAATGTAAATCAACGTATCTTTGAAAGAAATCACAACAGGCATATATTGTGTAGCTTAGACTACAGGTTATATGTATAGTTTTGTCACTTAAGAAACTTGTAAGGAAAACAATGATTGAACTTTTGTACCAAATATTCAAAATTGTTGTTTGCAGTCAGGTTTCAAGTCGACAAACTGCAACTCCTTTTTCTTGGGCCCACATCTTTTTCTTGTAATGTAAAGAAAACATACCATCAACCCACAGGATTGAGGCAAATGGCAGGCTGCCATCAAGCCGCAGCATTATTGTGCGAGCATGTATAACCCTTGGAAGACAGGGAACGAAAGACTCTAAACTGGATAGTGAGTGATAATAAAGCACCATAACCATTGCTGTGTGTGTTTGTCCACAGTCAGAGTACTGTGTTGTGGAGTATGCCACCAATGTGCAGACCCTGTATGACATGCAGACAGCCTGTGAAGGCTTCAGTAGAGAGGCCAGGGAACAACAGGTCAGTCACTTATTATGTCAGTCAACACTTTTTATGTTTACCTTCAAGGTAGGAAAACATACTGTTTTTGCTCAAGTTCTTCTCTTCTTCAAGCAGATAAAGTCAATGACCTGGACCAGATGTCTGTCACCATGGTAACTGGTGCTGTAGCAGACACCCTGTGGTGTTGGGTTACATTATGTTGCAAGGCAAAATTGGAGGGGCTGGTCACCATATAAATGACTCTGAATGTGTTTGACTATGAATAAACAGAGCAGTAGTTTGTTATGCTAGACCATGTGAAGGTAAACATTATGCATTTGCAAATGTTATACCTTTGTAGTTCTTGCTTTTGCCATCTTCTCATTGCTTCAGATCCTTAAATCATATTTGAGACATTTTTGGATCATAATGTCAATTGTATGGAAGATGTTACAGGATGTACAAGTTGTATTACTTCTGATTCTGATTATCAGGTGAAACTGCTGTACTGTACCCTGAAGAGCATCATTGATGACGACCCTGAGTGCAGGGACAGAGTGGTGCTGGTGCCACTGGACATAACAGGTATCAACCATCCTTGTGCTTGTATTGCTGGTGAAAAAAATGCACACGGTTCTTTGTGGCAAATGTGCAGATCATGGCACATTGGCGACACCAAATCCGTCTGTGTCCTCATCAGTGTTTGGACACAGTATCAAGGATTAGCAGAAAGGCCTGGTGTGGGCATCAATCCACCATAGTGATGGAAATGTTCTTAACTGTCTTATAATCTACAAAATTTAAAGCTCTCGTGTATCAATGGTACCGGCAGGATGCAACCTTCTAAGTGCTTACTTCCTCCTGACAGATGCTAAGGATCACAAACTGGCCAGGGTCATCCTGCACACCTTAAAGCAGCTCAAGTCAGAAACAGTCGACATGCCAGATGTACCAGATGTGCAAGATGTACCAGATGTACAAGACATACCAGAACAAAACATGCGAGATGTACCAAACATGCGAGATGTACCAAACATGCGAGATGTACCGAACCTGCATGCTGATGAGACCGTCCCAAAGGTGGCAACCGAGTGTTCTGACTACACACCCTACCAGGAAAGTGACAGGCAGACGGACATGGGTAAGGATGATTCAGAACTATGAAAGGAGTGCTAGTGTAAAGGAAATGAAAAGAAATCTACGTTGGGTGTCGCTGAAGACAGACAAAAAATGTCCAGACTATGATATATATATATATATATATATACATTGTAATAAACTTGATAAGCTAATCTAATACCAGTCCAGGAAAAAACAAGAAACAGTCATGCCCTCAAGTACTGGAGTTATCAACCAAGCATTGAGGTGTTAAAAAACTGTGTTCCAAGAACTATCATAGAGTGGAACTTGTTGCCACCAAGTACAGTTGGGGCATCAGCTCCTAATACTGAGTGTATAAACTAAATCTAACTAATCATACAGCCACCTACATTTATACAAGTACCAAGAAGCGAGAAGAAGTTGAAAGTATGTGTATACTACCGGTAGATGTTTATATAATTATACACTGATATACACAGCATTGGATCTGATTGCTTACATGTACATGTGATCTGTGCTTAACCCACTGGGGCAAAAATGTACAATAAACGTCTTTCATTCATTCATTTATGACTTATAATCTGTGTTTCCAGCTTGTGGTCCTTGCCAGGACTCCCAGGATCCACCTACTTCCTCGGACAAGATAGAGAAAGGTACATTCTATCCCAGAATGTGACAAGCTAAGACAATAAAGTCTATTAAAGGTTTAGGTAGAGCATGTTAGTACGCATGCAAGTAACTAGACTCAGGGAAGAAATCCTGGTATGTTTGGTAATGAGTATGCATCATACTAAACACTGTTAAAATCCACATATAGTCACCTACATGTAAATACAAACCCAGTACATGGACTGGGTTTGTATTTACATATGTAGGTGACTACTTGTGTCATGTCAGTGTATGTGGAGTTTTATTTGCTGCAGTGCAGGTTAGGTGCTGGTAGACATCAGATTTTACCTGCACTAGGACGCATATATGACCAGCACAGGTTAGGTGCAGGTAGACATCAGAAATACCTGCACGGGTCCAATTTTACCTGCACTAAAGTGCATATGCACCCAGTATTTTGAGCCCTGAAGACAGAGATTGGTCTAAGCACCATTTTGTGACTATATGATTCCTCAATAAAACATTTGTTGTACTTCAATTCTGTTGTACTTCATTCTGTCCACAGAATCTGCAGGATATTGTTTACAGGAGAGTAAGAAGAAACCCAGTCAAGTTAGACCATTTTGACGCAGCAACAACACATTATGCACTTATCCAACCTGGGGTGCCGAAGCAGCTTGCCATTTTGAGAAACTGACTTTTTTTCCCAACAAAGTAACAATTATTTACTCTCTCTTAAGTAGCATTTTTGCACCAGCATCGTAATAGTTGATGTGGCAACAACACGGTTCATTTACGCAATTGTTACTCTCCAAGCAGAGGTTTGGGTTTTGGGGGTATTTTTAGCGTGTTTTTAGGCTTTTTTATCGGGGCTTCTCTTTTGCACTGAATTTTTTTCCCACCAAACCCAACAAGCTTTTATTTAGTACATGTACTATGTAGAGTGACTGATAAACAATTTGTGCGGTGTGTCTTGAAAGCAACGAGCTTTACCCTTGCTGAAGTTACTTTCTTTTGTTATAGTAGTTGTAGATGTTGTCAGAGGCAAGTCATTATTTGGATAGATCTAGAAGATTATATTAGGTATCACGTATTACATTAACTGTGTTGTAGTCTTAGCAATCATGTCTAAAATTTAATTAGAGTATGGTTTTATGAGGGAAGAGGTTTTACATACTAGTAAATAATGCAAAAAAGAAAGAAACTGTGAACTAGTTTAGTTAAGCAAATAGTATTACTTAAAAATGTCCTTGACAGGTAACCAATGTAAATATCTGTTATTATGTGTTACTTGGGTAGTGTTTCCTATCAGTTGTCATATTGAACCATGGAAAGCTCCTACAATAGTTATCTATTTGCTACCAAACATACTGCCAATAATAGCTAAGGAATCCATGAGGATACTGTCAGGTTGTAGACATTCCATGGTGGTAATAACCTCTGGAATTTTGGTGGTAGATTATTCATGTTTGTTGATTTCTTAGTCATGTGGAACCATTCAACAATATTGCTCCCCAGTTCTATTATTCTTCGTTCAACATTATGTGCAGATAATGATACCTACAATGTCATGTATGTTATGTTCTGTTTTCTAAATCCTCAGTTATATCACATGTTTTTCATTTTATGTTGATAGACATTCATGTGTGTGTCATTTGTCATACTGAAACATATTATTCACAAATGTTCCATTATGTTATTATGGTTTGATGCTATTCACCTTTTATGTTCTTTTCCTTGGTTGAATAAATACATATTAAAAAAAAAGTTCAGCCTTGTTAGCTTTAGTGCGCCCCCCACCCCACCCCAAGATCTGCTACCCAGGCAGCTACTAGCTATAGTAGAAGGTGCCTGTTGTCATCTGTTGTTTGTAGGGAAAGGGTTGTAACCTTCTTCTCTGCAGCACTGCAGCGGCCGGAACAGCTGATCGTGGTCAGGATAGTTGTCCCACGCGTACCAGTCCCATCCTGAAACAGGAGAGAGGATTCAATCTAAACCACCGTACATGGCCCAGCACACATGTAATGTAATGTTATTTGCTGTCTTGTTTGTAGACATTTGCAGACTTTCGTACATCAGCTACATTTTGTACTGCTGCCTGTAAGTCTGTGTAATGTGTTGTCATGCATTTAAAATAAATAAATGGCCCAGCACAGGTTAGTTGCAGGTAGACATCAGAAATACCTGCATTATAAGCTTCAATTTTACCCGCACTGAGGTGCATATGCACAGGTGGTATTTCGAGCCCTTGTTGAGAATGTAATACTAGTACTAGCTAATTGATCACAGGATGCACAAGTTAAGTGATGAAACAAATGATTGATTGATTGAGTGATTAATTGATTGATTGATTGATTGAATGGTATTGCAGATGACCGTCACCTTCACATTTCTCAGGTTCCAGGTTGACCGGTTCCTCCCGGTGACTAGTGTCCACCTCTGCCTGCATGAAGATGGTGATGTAGTGGTAGTTCTCGGACAACTTGATCCCGTTGACGACTGTAGCAAATCTGACGTTCTTCAGTTTCAGTCCTGTCTCCTCTAGCACCTCTCTGGATGCACAGTCTGCCCACTCCTCACTACAGACAGATGAAAGTTACCAACAATGTCAGTTGATTTATTTATTTATGAAGATTTACCACACATTGTAGATAAGAAGGTCGACATAACAGGTGACTATCACCTCTTCAAGATGACCAAACCTCACTGAGACCAGACTGTAACAAGTTACTAGTAAGTGGGTACACTCCTGACGTGCGGGTAATTAAACTGTGGGCAGACCTTCCTGTCAATCTGTGGATACATAATCTCCCCCTGACTCTTCACTCTATCTGTACTACTCAGCAAATCCCCGAACGGAAACACAAGCAAACATACACACACAAACACATCGAAAACAATATCTTCGTACACAGAGGCAATCAAAGATATTGACTAATTTGTGTGACCGCGCCTTGATTCCAATGAATGAATGAAGTTACGTTATAACGTTTATATGGCACACGTGTCATGACATGTCAGAACCATGGATAAGTCTATTCCTAGTCCTCACCCGAACTCCAGATGCCCTCCAGGCAGTGCATATGTTCCCGACCCGGCTGCTCCTTTCCTTTTGCCGACTACAACACAGCCTGGGTGCCTGTGGCTCGTCACCAGCACACCGACTCCTACTTTCGGCCGCGAATTTTGGACAAGTTCCGCCATGCTTGTTTGGGTTGTACCATTGGAGGCAAGGGGGTGCATGGGTATTCAGGACACGCGCGCTTTCATGGCTTTAGGCCATGTTGATTTGATTATATGGATCACATCCTCTGGGAACCCCAAAACTGATGCGAGCGTGCGAATAAAAAAATGCCATCATTATAAAATCTACGTGGTCACGAAGGTTGAACAAATGACTAAATACACGAGGGAATAATAGACTCTTCGTGTTCATTTCTTCACATTTTCTTGTCTACCCTTGGAATATTGATTTTGGCATTATACGACATTAGTATCGTTTGACAATATTTTTTGGGCAATATACGGCATTTGTTTGCTTCTTTGGCATATACGATTTACAATATGGTCGGAAACTTTTTTTTTGGAAGCGGACGAAAATTCATACGAAAATTTATACTGGAATTTCATACTTACGGTCTTTGAAAGTACAGTGAAGGTGAACAGTTATGCTTGTCGTAAAAGATTCGTTTTGAATTGATGATAGATACTTTTCCAAGCCGAAATGTTTTTAATTTTAGAATAAGTATGAAGTTTATTGAATTTTCTTATTTCCTGCCACCAGCCAACTAGAAATGTATCTTGTAAACGTTGCTTGAATAAGCTTCCAAACTGGTTGGCATTAACCCTTGGGTTAACGTTTAGCCAGACATTTTGGAAGCCGTGTCTGCACAGTAAGTCCTTACATGCCTCTTTATCCGATCATTATGTATGTATGTAAGAACCGGTTGACGGATCATCGTGATTTTTGGTATGTAGATAGTTTACGTGATGTTTGATATAATTATGTGACAATTATACAAATATGGATGTAATTTGCAATTATGCAAATATGGATGTAATTTGCATAATTTATGGGGAAATTCAATAAATCAGATGCATTCCATGATATGATTATTGAAGCTTGTGACATTGGTAATTGAGAACGAGAGAAACACAGGCAGATATTGATTATGTAAATGAAGACTTAATTTGCATAATTAATGATAACTTACTTTGCATAATTAATGAGAGAATTTCATAATTATATAATGATAACTGCCTGGAATTTCATACTTGTGGTATTTGAAAGTTCAGTGAAGGTGAAAATCATCAAACATAATCTATTCAAATCAGGACCTCATTTGCATAATTTATGATGAAATGCTAGAATGGCATTGTTTGTTAATACATGACTGTCTTTTAGTTGAGAATATGATAAATTGATATAATTCATGAAAATGAGGATCCTATTTGCACAATCGGGGAATAATCTACATTTGGCGAAGGTATGAGATCGGGGAACTCTAGTTCACTTTATGTTCACGGTAGCAAAATGTCACTGTCTGGGAAAAGATTGACATGTTCACGGATCTATATATTCACAGTGGCGACAGGTGCAGGAAAAAGAAAATCCAGGAATTATTTGTTAACTGTAATGATAAGTTCACAGTACAGAGATGACAGTGAAAACAGTGAACATAACGTTAAAAGTGCCGTGAAAAAAATCAGGAATTACAGTGCTCTTAGCTGCGTATTCTCTGTGAATAATTTACTTGTAGGCGAAGGTCACTCGTGTAGGTGAAGGCCGCTAGTCCCTAGTTCCACCTTAACGAGCTCACAGTAGCATGCCAAGTCTTCAACGGTCCAGTTAGAAAGTAGAACCACTGTGAAATGTCAATCATTTCTCTAGGCATATCAGTAGCTTCGACATGTTTTTGCACTTCGTTTCTCTCGTTTACACGTCTTTTAAAGCCGTACATTTCCTCTCGACAATACTGCCCCGCGCATCTGCTTGTAGATTACAGATGCATATGAATGCCGCGTAGGTGTGACAACCAAGCAAGTGCCGCCAACGCAAAGGTTGCGCGACACTGCAACATTAACAGGGTAGCATCTCCAAAACTGTTCTGAGAAAACGCGGTATGGATATTAGCGATGATAAGCAAATCGTGACTTGGTATATAGCTACATTGCAAGGTTTGATCCTCCCCACATTTTTATTCATATTCCGTCGTAACGATCGCCAATTTACAGCTCCTCTCTCATTGTGCCTCCGTCCTACGCAGATGTCTGCTTGATTCAGTCAATTGTGCCCCAGTGGTGCTATGCCAGGAGCGAGATTGCCGCTTATAGAGTTAACCCCGTCGCTAATGAGCCTTTTCTACCAAGGAGGCAGCCTATCCTAGCAACGGAGGGGTTGGCATAGCAACGGAGGGGTTGGCATAGCAACCCGACGGAGTCTCCGTGGCCCGAGGCGCGGCTTGGTGACCTCTGTGGGATGGATGGGTGGGCGCGCGCTGCCTGTACACCGGCGGCTCTCGGGGAGTGACACGCGCGGTGGCCGCTCGATCCGTTCTAACACGGGGGGGAAGAGAGAGAGAGAAACAGAGGCACATTTCTTCCCTTCGTCGGTAACGGTACCAAGATGTCCGCTGGTTTGCAGGGTTTGTGAGTACGTAGACGTTTGCGGCGCGATCGGCGGCCTCGCCACGGCGGATGAATGAGCACGGCGCCGAACGTGCTGCGCTTCGGGCGGAAGAACAGCGTCCAACCCCGGCCAACCTCCGCGGCCTTCGAACCCCGTGATTCACCCGAGCCAGTCACAGGCAAGAAAATCAAGGTGGGTACAGGTACATACAGGTGCAGCAACACTTTAGATACAAGCACGATATCAAGGAAGCCCTTCACAGGCATGACATCGGCGTAGAATTTCAACACGCCGAGAAGTGGAAAAACGACAACGAAAATAGACAACACTCTGTGGTTGTCTTGGCCCCAGCACAATCGATAAAAAACGTCTCAGAGTGTTCCTTCGTTCGCCACTGTGCATCTATCCTGTTTGATGATACAATTTTAACGTACAATTTCGAACAGAACTATCTGTAAAACGCCTGACTGAGAATTGCCAGCAGGCGTTGTTGTGGCATATATCAGATAAAACCTCAGAGATTGAACGTGACCAAAACACGATTAGCTGGAGAGGATGTAAGACGACCCAGAGGACCTCCTTGCACTTTCCCTGTAAGCCAACGTCCTTCTGGGACTATATATAATCTAATTTGAAAGGATATCGCAGAAATATTACATTAAGGGTTTCTGAAAACAGATAGAGGCGACGGGGGATTTTGATACCGCGTATTTTTTAGCGTACCACGGGATTGTTAGTATGTAACATGCGAGCGTATATTATAAGAGTGATTGCCATACACCTTGGAATTGTTACCAAGGAACGCTGCAAACGTGGGTGGGCTATTGTCGCCCGAAATACAACCACCTTGCCACCCCGACATTTCCATTGGCGGTGAAAGAGAAAAATGACTCCCTTTCATCGGTCTGGCGTAGGGATTGATCTTGTTCTGCAGCCCTGTGCTATTTTTATCCTCCGTGACTATTCCTGTGTTGAATTCAAACCGATGGTCGATGGGCGGCCTGTGAAATTACACGTTATTACTATTTAAAAAATATAGTCCTGCTGTAGAGTGTGACGTAAAAGTACCCAAGATTGGACGTAAAACAAAGGCAGATCAACCGAATAAAAAAAAAATTTGACTCAATCCAGAGGTTCACATAGAGGAAGTATAGATACAGGAACAAACCGTACGGAAACCCTGCACTAGTCTTCAGTTTCAGACGGTGAATTCATACTCCGCCGGCTCCATAATCCTACAAGCTTATCGGAAAGCCGGAAGGGGCACAGTAGGCTCTAGCACGTTCCATAATACGTTGTGTACAGCAGTCAATCTTCCAAAGTAATGACCCTTACTATAGAACATCAACATCAAGCACGGATACATGACCAACTGCCGCATAGAAGACATCACCGCCAGAGAATACGCACGTTTAATGTCATCTCTTGATTTTGCAAGCGTGGATAATAATTTAGCCAACCTGTAAACCAATCAAAGTAATTGTGGTCGTAACATTTCATTCTAGTTTCAGCAAATACAATACTAGGACAAGAGAACGACATACATTGTAAGACGGAATGAACCTGATATGCTAGACTTTCTCTAATGTTTACTGTCTGGAAAAACTCTCTGAGGCGTCAATAGCAGGCATTAGGGATGTATGCCTGGATAAACCCAGATGTCTACCCACGCATTATTATGTCTAACTCGCTTTACAACTGCCCACATCGAAATCCAAACGTCTTCTTAGAATTTGCAAGGTTTCAAGAAATCTTTTAGTAAATGTATTAAGATTAATTAGACTAACTAAAAATGTCTTATAAAATTTCCTATCCCCTGTCTGAAGTCTTGAAAAAAATCTCCAAGCGTTTTTTTTTAGCCCTTTATTTGGTGACTGCAAAGACAGTATCGAATTGGCCGGGCTGTATTCATTGGCCAGACAGTCATCATTTTGTCTATGAAATTGGAGATTAAAGAAAGCACATACAAAATTAAAGGAGAAAGATCTTTTTAGAAAAAATACAGTTGTCATGGGAGTAGAACGGTTGGAATGCGGTGTGGTATCGAATTGGCCAGGCTGTATTCATTGGCCAGACAGTCACCATTTGTCGCTGAAATTGGAGATTAAAAAAAAAACATGTACAAAGGAGGAATATATTTTTTTAGAAAATACAGTTGTCATGGGAGTAGATATTAAAACAATAGAAATGTGTGGTTTTATTCACCGCAAGCTCAATAACCGGCAGCGGCGCCCTGTCCTTGGTGCTGAACGCTCGGCGCGGCTTCACGTCATATTCTATTTTGTTGAACAGCGGTAGCGACGTCCTGTTGACAGATCCGCGGCCTCTCTGTTGTACATCACACGGTTCAATGACCCACTCTGACGGGAGGAGAAATTTACTGATTGCTTTGATGTCGCCTTTGCAGTGTGTAAGCAACATGATGGATGTGATAGCGGTGATTGGTACCCGGTGATTGGGCTAGCACACACGCAGAGATAGAAACTTCCCATGTACATATACATATACATGTAGTAACGTTAACCACTTTCTTGGACGGATCGCTTTTTTGTAGGCACGATGTTTCGTGACCCAAATACCTTCGTCCATCCCTTAAATTTCATGGTCATTGCTTCAACTGTCATGGCACAGAAGCCAAAAATATACATTTTTAGTAAAAAAAAGAGCAAAATGCGTCAGAAAATCGCTCCTGGGCATTCCTCCATTTCCAGAATTGCTTAGAACACATTCAACCACGTTTGTGCCAAATTTGGTGCTTTTAGACAAAAATGCACAATTGTTCAGCTATGCCGCTAGAATAGTAGCTTATGTACTGTGAAATCATTTTTAAAAAGGACTTCTTTTCTATGTTTGTCACTTACTGCAACATGGCATGTCTGAACAAGAAAGTTACAGTGCGCAAATTCAAAGTTATAATATTTATATGAAGGCCTCATACATAGAACGGTATTTCAGATTAATGTAATAGCACTGTACATTCCCAATTGAAATTGTAGTATCCTTTTCATGTGTACAGACATTTCCATCTGTCAACTCCTGTCAAAGGGAACAGTGTATTACACGTTTTTATTTCAAGGAGAAAGAGACCTGAGGCCGGGGTTTGATTCAACCATGTTTTAGAAGGGAAAGACGCAAAGGAAGGAGAGCATCAATATACATAAAAATATCAATCTAGCCTGTAACTTTGGTATTACGCATATGTCAATTTCATCTGCCTGTTTAAAACAAAATGTCAAACCAGTATAACAACAGCTTTTGTACCTCATAAAATGTCTCAGATTTAGTGCGAGCGATTGGTTTTATGAATCACTGAACAAGTCTCATGTTGCTGTTCCTTGTTGGTGTTAGAAATACCCATTTTACTTCTAGTAAACAAGGACGAAATATACATATAACGTTATACGTTACACAGATTGCAGTAGCATAGACTTCATATAGGCTGGCATCCTTTGTACCATAGATGAAGCCTTTGGTGTAATTAGTCTAGATGTCGTAGTCACAACAGTCTTCCCAAACACAGTAAACAGCCTGTGGCTGGTGTCAGTGTCTCCTTTTTAGGTCATCACACTATCATGCACGTGCGCTTTCGTTTACGTGGCGGATCTTTTTTCATATCTGAAGGAATAACGCGAATGTGGGGTCGTGTGGCGTAGCAGCAGGGTGCTTGACTCGGAACCAAGAGGTCCCTGACATGCAACCGATCTTGTGCCCTTGGGAAAGGCACTTTACACGACTTTCCTCACTTCGCTCAGGTGAAAATGAGTATTGTATTGTCCCGTGTTGGTGGCGGCATTAATATAAGTTTAAAAAAACTGAATGTGCCGTCACCACGTCTTGTGATTACATGTTGGAATATAAAGAAAAATAACGCGAAGATAAATTATATAGGACAGCAACCACATGCACGTTTTCACAGTCTTTCCGCCCAAAAGAAAATGAGTTGTTGATGTGATATGCAAACGTACAAACTGTTATTCACCATATGGCATTGGTTATGATTAAATCTATATCCACCTAGGTATCCTGTTGCATGTATAGTATATTAAATCATCGTCCAGATGTTGTCGTCTATTTTATTTCGAGATTATTTTGCGTTGAAAAACGTTGCCTAGGCCTACGGTGGCATATAGAGAGATGCTATCACTACTATTGCTGGAATAGTATTATAGTACATCACCATATAGAAGTGCCGCTAGATACGATTACAGGAACATATTCCTATATGTACTTATTTTTTAGATAACTTATAAGGGAATATATCAAATGGATGCTTTACGAACTCATGTTTCTCAACTGAAAAACGCAGATTGGATTTTTTTCACGCCAGAATCCTGTAAGCCGTGGATGATTATAGGGGGAATTCGACTGGGGAGGAATCGGATTGTATTTCATTTCCTACATCCACTTTACTGAACCTCAAACCCAGTCATTGGATTCCCTCTAGCTTCGGTCGATACTGCCCATTAGGTCAATTAAAGGGGGAAACAGCCACTCGAGGATAGGAGGTGTGGGTCGATGGGCACTGATTGCTCAACTGGGCGTCTGTCTTTCATCAAACGGTAGCCTGGGTGCGTAGTATGGACACCATCCGGATATTGCTCCGCTACGTTAGAAAAAAAACAACACTTTTTTCTAGCTCAACTGGGCGTCTGTTTTGCATCAAACGGTAGCTTGGGTACGTAGTATGGATACCATCCGGATTTTTCTACACTACGCCAGAAAACATCCGTAGTGGAGCAAAATCCGGATGGTATCCAGGCTACTGTACTCGGTCAGCTCCCGTTTAATGCAAAACAGCTGTACAGAAAACGATACTAATGTCGTAGAATACCAAAATCAATTCCAAAGAAAGAAGAAAATGCGAAGAAATGAAAATTAAGAGTCTATTATTTGCCATACCATAGTCTTTGTGTTTAGTCACTTGTTCAACCTTGATGATCCCGTAGATTTCACAATGAGGGCAATTTTTTGGTTGGCCAAACTTTTTATTCGAACGCTCGCATCAGTTTTGGGGCTCCACGAGGATGTCATCCGTATAATCAAATCAACATGGCCTAACAACTGACGAATCAGATAGCAAGAAGCTTACACCGGGCTTTAATGCACAAGGACTCAAATGTATGTCTCATTGGTTTAAGCGTTCTCAAGAAGGGAAAGCATCGTAGCTTGCAAAGCTTTGTGTAGCAAGTTCTGATATGCCTTTAAAAGAATAAAAAAATCATGTCTAGGGGCTACACATGCTGCTGATTAATAATAATCATCAGTATTGCAATTTCAAAAGTCGTGCGTGACCAAAGAAACATAAAACGGGTTACGCAATAGTCATAACAAAAATCTGAGAAGGGTACAAAACAATATTAACAACCTCATTCCCTAACCGGAACTCGAATGACGCCAAAGGATATATATACTTCGTATTTTCCAGCTTTCAGAATTCTTTAGTATCCGATGTTAACTTCAACACGTGAATGGTAACTGCAATTGTAGTAAATTATTGTAAATTGTAGTGATTTAATAACTGATTTATAATACTGTATTAATCTATAATATCTTAATAGCTTAATTCTGTTTCTTGTTACCTGGACGATACCCATGTTTTGTGATGTAATTTGTATTTTATGTCTAGTGGTGACGTGAATATAAGCCATATCGGTTTTTCAGTGCGTCACCACTACGTATTGTATTGTTTGTACGTTGAAATAAAATAAAAGAACTGTAGTAAACATCCTGTGATGTGGCCATCTGATAGCCATATCTCTCTAAATCATGTTACATCCGTGACGTTATGGGAATGACAAATGAATATGGAGCAATTCTGAGAGACTCGCACACGCCAGCTGCCATATCTCTGGTTAATTCCATTCATTATGCGGCCTTTTGATTGTACGACGCAATTGCAGCTGGTTTTAGGAACATCAGAAGATTGGAACATGATAACGTCCAAAAATAGAACCGCTAGATCTTCGCTATACATGAATTGCCACTCTTCTACAGGTATGAAAGGAGTATCAAACGTCATGTAACTGAAGTACTAATGGGCATGCTGCAAACGTTTCGAGTTCTAAAAATAAAAAACCAAAAGTTTCTGACTGAAAATTTTCCGAAGAATCCACTTTCTGGAAAGGTCTATCCGCAACGAAATAAAACACACTTCTTTTTGTATCATTAAGTCCGTATTGATTTGATTATATGGATGACATCCACTGGGAGCCCCCAAAATTGATGCGAGCGTGAGAATAAAAAGAATAGCAAAAAATTTGCCTTCAGTATGGTCATGAAGGTTGAAGAAATGACTAAACATGGTAAGGCGAATAATAGACTCTTCATTTTGATTTCTTCACATTTTCTTCCTACGGAATTGATTTTAGGCATTATACGATATTATATTAGTATATTTTTCCAATATTTTTTTTGCACTTTACGGCATAAATTTTCTCATTTGGCAATTGTTTTTTTTTCGATTTACAGTATTGGTTTGGAAATGAACGAAAATTCATGCGCGCGCGGATGTCATCTATATACTCAAATCAACATAGCCTTAGATGTTGAAATGAATCCCTGCGTTAGAATCAAGCCACCCGCTTAACACATGGATGAGCTTAAAGCTAAAGACTGGGAGCCACCACAGAATTTGACTCTAAAAGATGAATCAGCGAGTTTGTATACAGCTCACATCTCGGAGACACGGTGATAAGACAAGACAAGTTATCATCTATGGTCCTTGCCTGCGCCACAAGAGAGATGAATTGATAATGGTCAATGTTACCCATCTCCAAAGGCCCGGTGCCGCCACCACGGTAATTGATATACAGTGTGTGTCTGTGTGGGCTAATATAACGATGTTGGCAGAGGTTGGATGAATCATCATCGGGCAGCACATGCTTCACGTCATGTCACATCCGGCCCTACAACCCGCCTCTGTGGACTTAATTACTCGGCGCGGTTACACGGTGGGAATGAGAATGAGTTTCCCCTGTTAGAGTGACTTATGTATGAAACCCAAGCTGTGTGTGAGTGGCAGGAAGTTGACTGAAAATGTCAATAAATATGAAAATGAAGAGTCTATTATTCGCCACACCATACTCTGTCATTCGTTCAACCTTCATGACCAGGTAAATTTCATAATGAAGGCAAATTTTTGCCAAACGTTTTTATTCGCACGCTCGCATCAGTTTTGGGTTACCCAGAGGATGTCGTCCATATAATCAAATCAACATGGCCTAACGACGTCTGTCGGTGATATGGCCTGGGGAACTTACTAATGGGAAGTGTGGTCCGTCCTTGGTGCTGAAACTGGTGTAGCCCACAAGGTTTGGTCAGCACTATGAAGGACTTGCTTTATCCTTTTTTTTATACATTTGGCCATGTTGAT